TGCGGTAAGTTGTTGTTTATTTTTTTGTTTTTGTGTTTTTAGTTTTGAAATGGAAATTAATGATGGATGACTAATGCTGCTGTTGCAACAATACCAATTTGGCTCTCCTTGTGCTATTCTCAAACAACCGCCAGGAATACAAACCTTGAAGAAAAGCAATCCTCCAGATTAGCGAAGACAACTAGTAAATGATCAGATCATAAAGCCGCTCATAAAGAGATATCTACTATAGAACATAATTGGAACTAAACCACAAGGGCGAGCAAATAGGATGGGAATCCTTGGTTGTTTTTTGTGGTTTCCTACATATTTCACAGGAACTTGCATACCGTAGTACAAACAGTTGTACATAAAAAGAATGTGACAGGTGGCAGAATTATAGCTGCAGAATGGTAAGAAAAAGAAACAATATAGCCTTAGACTAAGTACACTACATCACACACAACAAAACTAATAATTGCGGCATCTTGCTTAGAAAAATTTGGCTATTACTGTAATTGCAAATTTGACCCACCTTCTGGTACCAGAGATTTGTCAAAATGTGCTCACAATAAAACATTTGTTATTTTATGCCGGACTGCTATGATATTGTGGATATTTTAGCAGAGGGTCAAGCAGACTAGATTTTGATTTTGAACTCGTTGACAGATATCAGATATCTGTCCTCAGGCAAGCATTACGTTTGCTCAAACTATATTCCAGTCTCTCCATTTACAAATTGGGGGCAAAAATCATTATTGTCATGCGGTCAACCAACCCAAAGTGCTAGCAAAAACAAATTGCTATTCCAACCGGAAACACAATACAGGGATCATAAATGAGGACCAATTACAATTATCAGTTTTAGTGCAAACTATACTTATTAAATCTGCTTGATCTTTAGCCTCTCGAAAGTATATTGATTAAAATAAAACAGTCTTATCAAAATAAATACATAAATAGAGTGTACAGTCTCCTTATTGTATAAAGCTTCCCTATCAACTAGATACCATATCTAATGGAACCAAAATCAAACTGTTTATTGGACAACAATTCAATCCAGTTATACACATTTCAATAGTAAGAGATAAAAAATTATTTCTAAGCACTGCCTGTAGGCACTAAAAATGAAATAGCTTCACCCCATTCTCCCCAAGCTACACGATGTGTTTGATACAAGATTATCCAGCTTGTGAGAGCCACAATCCATACTAGGGCTCCTATTCCTGAGAGCACGACATCTGTAACACATAGTAAGAGGTACAGCATTAGGAAACGGAGAAAAGAAATAGAAACCCCTAGTGAAACAACGAACTTACATCTTTTAATTTGCTTCTGCTCTTGATACGGAGCTTGTTTGAATGCTTCACCATAAAACCAGACAAAATTAACTGCCCACAGAACAGGTAAGCATGCCCAGCCACCTATACAGCAAAACAAGTGAAAATTATTTAACAACCACTAATCCTCAGGCAGGCTGAAGACAAAACCTTCACTTCAAAAATAATTAGTTACCTCTTGCATAGTATTTGCAGATTTCCAACTTTTTCTCATTCCGCACAAGCCTTAGATCCATGGTTTTTGCTGGTATTGTTTACTTACAACCCTTTAGGCTTCTGCATGTGTACCGAGCAATCCACGACCGTCGATCGCCGCAATGAGGATATTGATCACTCTGAATTGTCATCTCAGTTCATCTAAGTTCCACTTCCCCTCTTGGGCCCCGAGGAAGAATATTCATACCAGATGATGAGGGCATAATTCTGCCTTTACTCCCTTTCTTTCACTTGCCTCCTGAAGTATGATTCTTCCAAATGTTTTGTCCCCCCCCCCCCACCTCCACGCCCTCTTCTCTGCATATCCGTCTGCTATATCAATGTGAATAGCGCTCCAGTATGAACCAAACCAACCAAATCGGCGAGATTCGTGTATGCCGGCACCCCGGGGGAGGCTATATACTGTGGGGATGCTCAGGGTAGGCCAACCCGCACTACACGCATGCATTGCAGGCAAGATGTTGCCTACGTAACAGGCGCTTCGGACGCTCGCACTCGCAGAGGCATAACTTACAGGTCCCCCCCAACGGCGAATGACGGACGTACTTTCACGTCACTCTCTCGGGAAAAGTGACTCTAAACAACCGTATTTGCAGTGTGTCTACTCCCTCAATCGAAATTTTGGTTTCGCGCTGAACAAACCAAAAATACGAAGTTTCATTCAAATTATCCAGTTTGCAAACCTTTTTTAACAGTGTATTATAATACAAAATAATTCCTATTTACATAATTTACATTCTTTCCTTTCATTAGCATTCCACTTACAAAAATATACACAAAAAGGAACAAATTAGTCAGTAATCCTCTCGGTCTTCCCTCCCTTGCGTTTGCCCCTTCCTATTTCAGGTGACGCACCAGGCTGCTGGGCTGCTGACGCATCTAATGGGGGCAACGACCTTAGGTTGGCAGGGGCGGCATCCAGTCGGCACAATGGGTCAGCGATCTGGGAGAGGGGGTCACCAGTCCAACCAGACTGGTATGTTACCGGGTCCCGGCAGGAATACACGGCAGCTCGATGGGTTGCCTATACGATACGCACTGCCTGGCAGGCGCTGAAGGCGAGAGCGGAGCGGATGGAGGTGGCTGCCGTTGGTCAAGGGTGAGGTCCAGTGAACTCGATGTTCGGCGTTGCTTTTTAAAAGCAGAAAAGAGAAAAAAAAGGAGGGGGCACATTTTTAAAAGGGGCCAGCCGATTACCGATTTGTCATGTTTCCTTTATTACGACTGGATAAGATTACAGTTTAGCAAGAAAAATTGACAGAAGTTGTAAAATTACTTCCAATAATTTAACCCTGTTCCTTAGGACATCTCCATCTACCTCTTAGGAAAACTTTAAAGAAAAGTCATCCACACTCAACTTTAAGGAAAATATGAAACAATTAATTTGAAGATTTTAACAGAAAGGGTTTCATAAGGCAGAAGGGAAACGTGTGGAAAACTACAGCAAAAAGTTAAAAATACCGGTACACACAATGTGTGTTTCAGACTGTGATGTCTACACATCATCACAAATTAATCTAGTCCCTCAACACTTTTAACAATGAACTGACGACAATGCAGAAAAATTACACATATAGATCACAGATCTTTCATTTCATTACTTATTCAAATATGACTAAGAAAGTACACCACCAAAATGGAACACCTTTAACATGATCCTCAAGATTTATGGAAGAAAATCAGAAAATCAGTAATAACTGTAAATAGTACTGTCAGTACTATCAGAAGTATCATATATGATTTTCAACTAAACTTATTTATAAATAAATAGCAATTGCATATTGCATATTGTAACAAAAGCACGCAATGCAAAATTTTTGTAGGTGATATTATTGGCAACAGACATGAGCTAAATCGATATTAAATACTATGCAATAAATACTGTACGTCAGATGTCACAATAATTCGATCTGATATGGGAACGTTCTCAAATTTCCAAAAACTCCACAATGAGAAATGCCTAATACAGCAAAATATAGACAAGCTAAGGAATAGAAATTAATATTGATGGATGAATAAATTTCAGGTACTTTGTGAATAACTTAGAAGGTAATACATCAATCAAGGTTTTGATTTTTCACTGAAGTAGAAGTACTTTGCAGTATGTAATAACAAAGCATAAAATGGTAGAAATTATAGTAAAAGAAAACATACAGGGAACAAGCAAAAAGTATAAAATTAGTTCCCCAGAAGTTACTTATTAGAACTCTTATTGGATAGTCTGGCAATTTCTGCTCCCAGTGTGTCAAGGTTTTCCTGAAATTGAATTGTTTATTAAAAATACAAATAAAAACATATAAATAGTTATTTTCAAGATATTAAGAATCCGATATGTTTCAATAACCTTTAAAGTAATGTTCTTCAGAAGGGTATCTTCCAAAACAGCTTGAAGTTTGCGATTGATTTCCATTGATAGTTCTATTGACACAGTTTCATCATTTCTACTGCCATACATGCTTGCCATTACACCAGAACGCTTCGCTAGGTCGGCCTGTATAAGACAAATCATGGTTAAATAAGTTTCAAAATTACATTTAAAAAAAGCCCTAATAGTAGGAACTTTATACTTTTAATGCAAAATCAACATTTAACTGGTAAAAAATATTTTGCTAGCAAAACATAATGTATCATATGGTTGAAGTCAACATTAGTTGGTTTATGTAGACATAAGCTGGTTAATGTATACATTAGCCGACTAACAGACTTTATCCATAACAATTATACAGCGTGCGGTATTGTGAATGCAAACATCACTCTCTAACTAAGTGTTGCACTACCTATTTCATCTGAAATAGATTACCTGATTTGTTTTTGAAAATCCAGCTATTGCATGCTATGGTTGTGAGTGTTAAGGGTAGATGATATAGTATTAGACAAGGTTTCAGAGAAGAAATTTGTTCAGAGTCTTCCATACACTTTGAAATTGGGTTGAAATAAATTATTTACCTTGTTTTGGTCCATAGACTCAGATGTAAAAGCCCCAGCTGGCATCTTCATGACAAAGCTTTGAATCAGTCGAGTCTTCTTTTGAAGTTCACCAACCAAAACTTGGGAATGTTCTTCCATAAAATCTAGTTTTTCGGCTTTCTTAGCATTTTCTCTCTGGAGCTTTACTAAACGCTCGATCAAAACCTGTTTATCAGGCTCCTGGATATAAATAAATGCAGAACAGATTTTCTTGAGTGCAAACAGGTATAATGACTAATTAGTGGTAGTTTTCCAGAAAAAAGAATCAGGCATACCTGTCCATTAGGAAATGTGATGGGTGGTAACATGGGAGTAGGACTTGGTTCACAGACAGTGTTCAGGGAGGAGCTTGATGAAGTTCTAGAAACCTGTGCTATGGATGTACTGCTATGACTGCTATTATGGCTACCTCCACCAGAGTTCTCTACCATCTCCTGACGTTTTCTGGACTGCTGAATTTCTCTAGTTAATTCACGAATAGAAGCAGCATGTTTTCTTTTCAAGAGTTCTATTTCCCCTTGTGAATCTTCAAGCTGCTGTTGAGTTTGTTCAAGCTTGTGTGTGCTTTCGGCCAAGTGCCTAGCAAGTATGGAATTTTCCTCCTGTCTCAACTTCTTTTCTTTCTCCAAATCTATGGTCAATGAAGTCACTTTACTTTCTGTTTCACTTAACTTTCTTGTAAGTGGTTGTTGTTCACTTTCCAGCATGTGAGCCTGTAATTATATCAGGAAAGTAATTAATGGTGTTCAAGCAATTCACAAACTGACACTAGCTGCTCTACATACCCTAGCCTCCAGAGCTGAAAATTCGGACTGAAGGCGAACATTTTTCTCAGTCAATTTTTGAGTAAAGTCAAGCAGCTCTGCTTCCCGCTCGCGACAAGCTGCAGCATCTTGCTGAAGATCAACATTGGTCTGCCGAAGCCTTTCCATTTCACTACGGCAAGTAGCAAGTTGATCTTCATAGCTAAAATGTAAAAATCAAACTTTAAAAACTTACGCTCAGCTATCAAAGAAGCACTCTTCTCAAGAACTAACTTAAAACAAAAAAGCAGTTTGAGAAAGAACAAAAAAGTCTAAAAGCCTTACTGTTGTAGCTGTGCCTTCAAGGATTCCATGCCTGCAACTTTTTCACGGAGATCAGCAACTTCTTGCTGATGTTTATCACTTTCTAACTTTAAACGTGATAATCTCTGATCACCTTCTAATCTCTCTTTTTCTAAAGTCTGGACCTAAAATTCAGAAAATTTTCAATGTTTCAAAATTACTTTTACTTTTTTCTAAAATTTTTGAGTGTATTGAGTAGCACAGATTTTACCTTTAAGGATAACTGATTATTTTCATCAATGAGGGCTTGCTGTTTTGCTTTTAATGCTTCTACCTCAGATTGAAGTTGTTTTAAAACTACTACAGTGTCAGCTCTCCCATGCCTCTCTAGAATAAGTTTGGCATGTTGCTCTCGTAGTTGGTGATCTGCAGGCAGAGTATGAATTAAACGATGATCTGATTTAACTCAGGGAACTTGAAAACAAAAACGTAAAAATGTAACAAAAGCATTGCAATGACTAACCTAAAGATACTGCTTTGTTTTCCTCAGACTCCTGGAATGACTTAATAGCAGTCTGAGCATCTTTACGGGCTTGCTCAGCTTCCAATCTTGCTTCTTCCAATTTTCGAATCAGGTCTGTAATTCTCTGTTCAGCATCCTTAAAATAATTTTCAATTGTCAATAAAAAGTTACTAAAAGAGAAGTATATAAAAGTGATAACATATATGAATAACTTATTGTATGTATTTAAGCTGTACCTTTTTACTCTCAGATTCAGTTTTCAGCTTATTTTGTGTCCATCGCAGATCCTCCTTGAGTCTCTGATTTTCTCTATTTATAGTGCCAAATTCTTGACCCTAAATACAGTTTGAAGCAATTATGAGAGCTGAAATAGTAACCTAATCCTTGTTTAATATTTTACTTGAAAAGCTCTAAAAACTTTTACCTTTGCCTCTAATAAGTTGTTTGCCTTTTCTTTTTCAGACTGTACTGTTTTAAGTCGATCCGATAACAAATCTCGTGCCCGATTAGCCTCCTTGAGTCTCCGCTCTGCTAGCTCTAAATCTTTGCGGATTGTGATGGCAGCCTTTTCACTCATTGCATACTTTATCACCATTCCTTCCTTGTCCTTGTTGGCTGACTCATAAAGTTGAGTTTTCTGTGATAGAAATAGATTTTATGAAATTTTAAGAATGATTTTAGCATGTTAAATTGAAATTGAAGATTAGCCCTTGAACAAGGTGAAACCTTTTATACCTTTTGAAGATCACTCTTTAACTGAGTGATTGTTTGCAATGCTAAAGTCTCTTGTTGCTCAAACCGATTTTTTTCTTGTGCAAAAGCACGCTCAAGAGCTTGAACCTCAGTGTAATGATCATCCCGAAATTTTTCATTGGCAAGCTTATACCTAGTGAGAAACAGAAAGTTATGTATTAGAACAAAGCAAACTAACAATAGAAGTAAAGTATTCAAAAACTTTGAGTAAACACACTTTGACAATTGGTACTGCAAATTTGTAACAAATTCCTTAAGAGTGAGTGGACTGTCTGCATCATAGAAGGCCTCAAGATTGCCATCAGTTTCAGAAGAACTCTTATTTTCGTTGTCACTGTTTTTCCTGATACCAAATCCTAATTTTGATAAAACCATGTTTAGTTCCCTAAGTACAAAATCATCTGAGCCTTCAGTTGATTGAAACTGAGGGCTTGTACAAGTTAAATCTACAGTGATTGATGGTTTGCAATGATAATCTTCATTTGATTGTTCAGAAGAAACTACAATTGATGTTGTATCACAAGTACTTGTAAAGAACTTTTTGTTTTGATCGTCCTCTAGTGAAGTATTAGTATCAGCATTCGAAAATCCATTTTTAAAAGTATGTAACTGTTGCTCATCAGATCTGGTCTCCAACGGTACACATACAGTCACACAGCCCGAATTTTCTTTTACATCAGTGCTCTCTTCTAGCTCATTCTCCATCTCGGATGCTATCCCATCTACAGAGCCATCATCATGTTTTCCTGAAGATTTTATTCCGAGGCTGTCCAATGTAGGATTAGAATCTGGTTTGGAAAAGTTATCGGGTATGTTTGAAGCACATCCTGAAGAGATGAGATGTGTGTCAATAGTTGATTTGCTCTCAGACTTAGAAACCAGTGACTGATTGACGATTGCTCCATTATTTGCAAGTGTTGTTGAGTCTTCTTGTTTTTCTCTTAAGTTAGCTTTGTTATTCTCATTGCACGAATCATCTTCTTCAATCATTTTTAAATAGACAGAGAGTGAGCCTGCAATGATAAGCGTAAATTAGAATTTACATATTATTTCATTGACAAATACATAATGAGGAAACACAGGCTTGTTACAGCAGCAGAGAGGGTACATAGAAGTTTTTTTCCCCATAATGGCAACAGTTTGAAAAGAGTATTGGCTTGTTGAAAGGATTTTCATTTAAAGTCACCTACTTTGCTTACATGACAGAGGGAGCCTTAACCTGTTTGGAAAAGGGTTTTGCCGTTCTCAGGATACATGTATCACCTCACAGAGGTCAAAGCCTTTCTCTGGTAAGTAGGAAAGTTCACTTCATTATCGCCGTTTAAAAAACAATTCGCCCACAATGTCAAATAACTCGTGTTTATGTGCTGACTGTTGTGGCAGCTGTCATCACAAGCAGAAGTAAATCGTATTCATATTGGTATTCGTATAGCTCCTCAATGTGAATATGCATTGGACAATGAGTTGGCAAGGTTAGGAGGTGGGGGTTCCGGGGGGAGGGAGGAAGGAAGGCGGGGGTGTTTTGAACACCAACTTGTTGAGTATTGATGTACTGATCAGATTGATTCTCCTTCAACCGCCATTGGCCATTAGAACTGTTAAGAAGAAAAGACTGACATTAAAAATGTTGCAGACTTGTAGGAACATTTCCAAAGCTCGGCCTATTTTACAAAAGGTATGTTTTTGTGCTTACTTAATTGAATATTTCACACTGAGGCTAAATTTAATTTTAATGTTCCACCAATTATACAACTCCTTAGAAAATGTTTAAACTCTTTAAGCTTTTAGTCGCCTGCAAACTAGTTATACGGTATTTTCATGTCATTGATTCTTAACCTTTTAATCATGTGGACCAGATAGGGACCGCAGTGGCTTCTTGTTGTAGCTTAGTCATTGCAAGTTTTGCTTCTTTACTGGCTGCTATCGTTCTCAATGTAAAATGGGTGGAGTTAATTTCTTATTTCTGTAATATCTTATTGTCGTCTTATTTCTTTGCAGTATGCCGGATGCTTACAAATTAGCAATCATTTAAGCACATCAGCTGCCTTATTTGACGGACGTCCTTTTCCGTTGACGGCTCTGACTGAAGATGAACTTGTCCTCAAAGATATGGGTAACCCATTGTCCCCAGTTCTGAAACGTTTCGTTGCGTTGACACATGATGGATCACCTTACTTTTAATTTCACCCTCTCTTCCAATTGTAGTTGCAAAGCTGGCATCTGAAAATATTGCTCCATATGTTAAAAAAATGGAGAAAGAAGGAAAATTTGATCCTAGTGTACTTGAGGCCATTTTTGACAGTGGGGTAAGTACTTCTGCAGCTGCCTCACTTTTTGAAGTATTTCTTTCTTTTGATGTACATCTTTGTGTCATATATACATATAGCTTATGGGAATAGAAATAGAGGCTGAGTATGGTGGCTCAGGCTTATCTTTTATGTCCTCTATCATTGCTGTTGAAGAAATATCAAAAGTAGATGCATCTGTGGGTATATACGTTGACATTCAAAATACCTTAGTCAACGCTCTGATAAGAAAAATTGGAACACCAGAGCAGAAAAAGCATTATTTACCTCTACTTGCCCAAAAAGCCGTAAGTATTTATTAATTTGGACACTAGCAAGTTAAAATTAAAGTAATATTTATTTATTTTTTAATTGTTTTAAATACTAAATGAGTTTTGTTTTTAGGGTGGCTGTTTCTGTCTGTCAGAACCACAGTCCGGATCTGATGCTTTTGCAATGAAAACTATTGCAAAGAAGGATGGTAGCGATTATGTTATAAATGGAACAAAAATGTGGATCTCACATTCAGATGTCGCTGGTGTCTTTCTTGTCATGGCAAATGCTAATCCATCTGATGTTAGTTCACTCCTATTTCATATTTTTCTGTCCAACGTAACACTTTGATGCACAGATTACATAAAAACCATGCCTTTTGATTATTTCTGGTTTGTGTGTGTGTTACTTTGTTAAAGGGTTACCGTGGCATAACATGCTTCATTGTAGACAGAGAGATGCCTGGTGTTTCTGTTGGAAAAAAGGAAGACAAATTGGGGCTCCGTGCTTCTGGAACATGCATGGTTCACTTTGACAATGTCAGGGTACGTTCTAGGCACACAAAAATGCTGCACAAAAATTCAATATTTCTCACAAAATTATTTGTTTGCTGATTGGTACTTTATTAAGACTCATTGTTGATCTCAGGTTCCAGAGAGAAATATTTTAGGTAAATTTGGTCATGGTTATAAGTATGCTGCAGGGTTCTTGAATGAAGGCCGTATTGGTATTGGTGCACAAATGGTGGGCATTGCACAGGGATGCTTTGATGCCACTATCCCATACACTTTAGAACGCAGACAATTTGGAAAAAGTGTATTCTCATTTCAGGTAAAGGATTCTGTTGCAGCTACCAATTTTTGTACACTTACAGAATGTACTCACTTTTGTTTCAATCTTTGTTTTTTTCTTCTTTTGTAGGGCATGTCTCATCAAATTGCTCAAGTGGCAACTCAAATCGAATCTACTCGTCTCTTGGTGTACAATGCTGCAAGACTGCAAGAGATGGGGCTAGACTTCATTAAACAGGCTGCAATGGCTAAATATTATGCAGCAGGTATTTTCTTTAAAGTCTTAGGTTTTGGTTTATCTTACTTTATCCACTTAATCTACTAATATGTTTTTTTCATTAATATCCTTAGAAGTGGCACTTTTGACAACATCCAAATGCATTGACTGGATGGGGGGAGTTGGATTCACAAAAGATTTTCCCCAAGAAAAGTTCTACCGAGATTGTAAGGTTGGTTCCATTTATGAAGGTACGTCCAATATTCAGTTAAATACAATCGCAAAATTCATTCAAAGGGAGTATGAACAGTAGCTCAATTTGTGATTTTATTGTTGATCATAATTGCTATTCTATGGCTATGACTTTATACCAAATTTGCTATGCTATGGCTATGATTTTATACCAAATTATTTATTTCATATGTGTAAATGACTTTTTTTTGCTCTGTTGCTATGATTTGGTTGTTATACATAGAATCTCGCTAAGTTTATTTAGTTTCTTTCTTATAACACTCAATGATAGAAAACTTTTGTAATGTCTTCTGGATTACGATTTTGTAATGTGAATGTTTACCAATGCCATTGTTGTGGTGTTCTATGATTATTTGCTGTTACCAGCCAAGTTATTAAGTAACTTTGGTGTGCCATACTTATCTAATGTAGAGTCTATTTTTATATGAATGCTTTATCTATTCCTTGTTAAAATATTTGCCTTTATTATTTGAGAGAAACGTCTGGAGTGTCCTCTCTGCAGGATTCCCCTAAATGATTTTAAAACTATTGTTTTTATAAACACCAAGCTTTAGGGAACACTGTTTAGGTTCTTAACGGTACATTATTGTGGCATTCTATATCTCTATTGATTTACTTTTCTCAAGGATCAGGTTGGACAAGTACCAATTAATCAATTTATGTGCTCAGACTTTTTCTTGACTCTTTGTTGTCTCATTCAGTGAATGTGTTGTGGATTCTTCTGTGTCATCCATTTGGAATTGGCAGTTCCATCCTTTTAAATGATCACAACCAAAGGTTCAGTTGAATTGAGTGGCCACTAATCAAGTTTCCTTTGTATCATTTTCATGGAATTTGTATTGTGGGCATGCTCTGCACTTGCCAGATAAACAACTGAGATGCTAGTTCACCATATTGGATGCAACTGTAAATACCATAAGACAAACAGACAGATTCTCTACACTACCATTAAAAACCTTAACCAGATTAAATCAACATTCAGTCATAGTGTTGTGTAGTAAGTACTCTTAAAACCTATTCCTGGGTCCAAAATCGATGGAATATCTAGTCTTAAATGTCACAAAATGACTTGTTAAGGGCAGTAATTTAATTTTAGGATTTTTTAAGTTGGGGTTGGGTAGTAAAATAAATATGATATTTGTTCAATACATTCTTGATACTCTGGTTTAATTCAAATTCCATGTGGCAACAGTTTTCACCAGTGTTTAATTACTTACAAGCACATAGTACATGGGCCCTTGTGGGCTGTTCACTTTAAAACAAATAAATTAAGATTCATTCTTATTTGAATTATTTCTGTACATACATATGTAATAATTCAGTAAAAAGAGAGTTTATGGAGATCATGCCATAATACGTACACACTGAACACTGACAACCAACATGATAATGCACCTAAATGCATCACAAGTAAATTACTACATTCTCATTACTATCGCTGCATGTAATATACCTCTTCAATTTACTGTCAGTCACAACAATGCTTCATATTTTTTGTCATCATTTTTATAACCATTTTAGGGCAATGAATTCCACCAGCCTAATCAGTCTTTGATACACCTACAGTATCTCTTTTAATCTGTTTCTACAATCATGTATTTTTGCCTACTGCACTTCAACACATTGCCCTTGCAAATTGAAGATGGTGATGAGGTTTTTTTTTTCTTTTTATATGAAAGCATTTTCCTCTTATGTGGATTTCCCCCAATAGATCAATATTTTTTATAGCTGTGCTGTGTTTGACTAGGTTTTTTACTTATTGTTAAAGACAAGCAGATCTATCTGGCATTCTCTGCTTTCATACTTTTTGTACCTCTTTTATTTACTTGTTGTTTCATTATCAAACTAGATTTATTATCAAAATTTTCTAACATCTTTGGTTCAAAGAAATGGTCAAAATAGCTTCTTGCTAAAGCTGTCTTATCAAAATAGGGGAAAACGGTTTTATGACAGAAGGCTGTGTGTGTTTTACAGTCGCTTACAGCTGAATGGTTAGGTTAACAGTTTCTTGCATTCTACCGCAGTATTCTTGCCTTGAGAAATAGGCGTTCATGTGTGAACATATTTTGTTTCATAATTATCGCGTAATTCATGTTATGGTCTTTTTATTGTCAAAACATTTTATCATTTGAAATCTGACATTTTAATTTGTCTATTGTCTATGCTTCTAAATGATTTTGTGTCTTTCGCATCTTACAAAAGTAAGGATTTCAGTCTGAGATTGGCCAGTGTCATTGTTTGACGTCAGTAAAAGCCATGAAATGTAAAGGAATGCCTTTTTCTCTCAAGGTGTTTATCTAGCATAAGGTGTTGAATGAGTATTGTAGTATCAAAACAGAGGAAAGGTGGTTGCAAAAAGCAGATTACACACTTAACATAAATTTTTGACATATTACAGCATATGAGTAAATGATTCATGCATGATGTGATATTATCGGTTATAACATATTTGTGAAGATGACTTTGATATGACTAAGTGGATATGACCACATGACCACATAAAAAAGGCTGTAGCTAGAGTAATAAAGTTAAATATGTACAAAGTTTTTGCAAAGCACTTTCATAAACTAATATTTGTTTTCTAATGTGAACCCAACAAACTCCAGGCATTTGATATCGCAAAGACATCATTTTTATAAGCTAAATATCTGTCCCACACAAAATTGTATATCAATCATGTGGTAGATAACTATCTTACACATGTATGGGATCTTAAATAATTCTGAACTTTCTTTTTAAACAAGTTTTAACAAAATTACAAAGTATAATTACAACACTGACTTAAAATGTAACTCTTGATAATTCCTTCCAACAGAAATTTCCAAAGCACAGCATAAGCATGACAAAATGTGCTCTGACTGCTAGTTCTTTGATCCTCATTTCCTTGTGATGTTTAAGGAAAGGCTGAATGCTGCAAGGATTCTTCAATGGATGTTAAGAACTAAATACACCAGAGACTATCTAAAATTGTAACTCTTTTGTGCATGTTTTAACACAGCATATTTTTCTAATCCTTATAAAATTGCTAAGTTCACTAAGTAATACATCACAATAATTATTTCATACTTCATGTCAGGGAGACATGATTTTTTTTTCCTTCTGTATTCTGGTAGTTCCAGGTACAACCTCCATACTTTCTTCAAACAATCCAACAACAATTATTTACTTATTTACTTACATACTTACGGATAAATAAACACAAAGATATACAAAAGCACGATTGGGTCATTTTACATCTTACTTGCAACATTCAATTTCACCATTTTTTTAATTTTACAGCTAGATCAGTAGATAAGCTTAAATTTGTACACATGTAAAAATGCTCTAATGAAAACAGTATAACAAAACAACCCATCCAGCAGGTATGAGGACAGTCTGTTTATGAGGAAAGTCTGACATCATGAACTCTCAAGCGTTTTGGCATATTTTTCTTTACGATTGAACATTCTCAAAAATCAAACTCCAGTAAGGGATGTTGTACGTTTTATTCATATCAGAATTATATTTTTGTATATGTTGACCACGATGACAAAACAAAAATGCAGTTAGCAGCGTATAAAACTGTGCATGTGCACAGGTCCTCCAAAATGACACACAGAATTGTGATTGCTATTTCCAAAACACTTTATAATATTTCACCAGTTCTCTTCTACTCCGTCTTTCCTCAAGTGTGTGCTTTTGCGCGCCACAGATTATTACCTTAAATAATAAATTACATACAGATTTACAGAGGAACTGAAAATAAATAATTTTTAAAGAGTTAACTTATAATGATAAATCCAACCACTGAGCTATCTGGCACTTAATGACTAAAGTAAAGTGCTAAATAAGCACAGTCTCGTTTTGAAAAGCCTTTAAACGGCGGATAATGTTAAATTTGATATGGCACTTGATGTACGAGTCTTAGCTACAAGTGGGTGTTCCCAGTCTCAAATGAACTTCATAATTCTTTGGTGAAAAGCATTTTTCAAAAAAAAAATAATAAAAAAAAAATCCTACCATTCTACGTTTCTTGCTACGACAGTACTGATTTGTGTTCCTCCCCGGAGGGTGCCGTCTTGTGTTCTCTTCAGTCTTGGGGTCGTGTGAGTGTGGGCCTCGGCCTCGACTAGTGGGCGTACTCGCCGTCGCCGCTCGACGCCATGGAGAAGTTGGCCGAGTCCCGGCCGCCGTTCTGGAACTCGGGCGCGGCGCCGACGCCCGCCCGGAGGTGCTGTTGCAGGTGCTGCTGTAGGCCGTACTTGAGGGCGGGCGACATGCTGTGGTCCTTGAAGTAGGCGACCCCCAGCGCGGACGAGGGCTGCTGCAGCCGCATGGCCTGCAGCTGCTGGCCCTGGCCGCCCTGGCCGCCCTGGCCGCCCGGCTGGTACAGCAGCACCCCGTTGTGGTGCGTGGGGATGGTGGAGTGCTGGCGCACGAAGTTGCCGCAGCTGCTGGCGAGCTGGTGCTGCTGCTGCTGCTGGTGCTGCTGGAGCTGGTGCTGCTGCATGAGCGCGCCGGCGCCGGCCCCGTGCGCGGGCAGCGTGGCGCAGTGCGGCTGCGCGGCGGGGGGCGGCGGCGGCGGGGGCGGCAGCGGCAGCGTGTTGGCGGAGCCCATGCCGTAGCCGTAGCCCGCGTAGCCGTACGCCGAGCCGGCGCCGAGCGAGCCGCGCCCGTGGTCGGGCTGGTCCGTGAAGGAGGTCATGCGCATGTTGGTGGCGCGTCCGAACTTGTCTTCCTCGCCCTCCTTGGCGGCAGCCTGCTTGTGCCGCCGGATCACCACGGTCGCGTCGTGGCCGTTGAGCTGGAGGGTGGCGGGCACGCCGCCGCCGCCGGCGCCGGCCTCGGGCGTGAGCTCCTCGCGGACGGGCTGCAGGGCCTGCATGGGCTTGTGGTGCGGCACGCGCATGGGGTCGGCGGGCGCGGGCGGCGGCGGCGACTCGTCCTCGTCGGCCAGCGCGGGCTGCGGCGGCTTGAGCGTCACGCCCTGCGACGGCTTGCGGATGCTGCTGTAGATGGGCTGGGTCTGCAGCTTGAGCACGGAGGGCAGCGGCGCGGGCGGCGCGACGGGCAGCCCGGCCGTGGCGCCCGGCGGCGCCATGCCCCGCGTCAGCGAGAAGCTCTTGTACTGCGGCGGCGGCGGCCGGTTGGGCTCGAGGCACAGGTCCTGGATGCTGTTGGCGCGCCGCGCCTGCTGCTGCTGTTGCTGTTGCTGTTGCGCCTGCTGCTGCGCCTGCTGCTGTTGCTGCAGCAGCTGCAGCTGCACCGGGTCGTACTTGAGCTGCTCGTACAGCTTGAGGTGGCTGGCGTTGCTGTGGCTGCTGCTCGAGTGCACGCCGCTCGTGTCGCTGTGGCTCGAGTGGTCGCTGCGGTGCGCGCCCGGCGGCGACCCCGTGATGGTGGCGCACCCGGAGCTGTCGCCGCCGCTGCTGCTCGCCTCGGACCGGTCGCTCACGCTCGACCCGGGCGCCGTCACCTGCAGGAAGGGGGGCAGAAACGGAGGGTCGTGAGTGAGAGAAGCCTCTGGGCGAGCGCCTGGCGGGTAGGCAATACCTCGCGATGCGCGCAGGGCTGCCTGCAAGTTGCCTACCCTGGAGTCCACAGGGGCCGAGCTAGCCGACCCACGGAGGCTAAAGCCACGTGAGCTTTTATTGTTGTTACTTTTAGCATCAAACAAGCGCCCTTGCTGTACTCCCAACTGGTTCTGACGGCTTTATATGTAAAATTTCTAAGCCCGTGCACAGTTTTTGTTTTAATTGATTGTCACATTTTAAAAATAAGTTCATAGTTTCTTAGTTTGATAATTCTAAGTAAAATAAGTAGCTAAAGCGACCAATATGCATGGAAAAATAAAAAGCAAATGTTAATCGCAATATAAGTGTTGGAAGTGTCTTCCTTGATGGTCGCTGTTACGGTGTTAAAGAAGCGTGAGATCTAATGACTATGGCACTTGTGAAGGCAAATTAGTTACATGCTGAAAGAGAACAATAAATAAATAATTGAACTATTAATCAGTAAAGAGACGTACACTATTGAATATTTGGCAGTGGCAAAGCAGCCTAATCAAACCTTACGTTTCTACAGCATTGACTGAGATTTTATTTATGTACATTTTATCAAGTTGGTGGCTTTTTTCTCAGTTCAATACTTAAGATACTTACATTACAAAACTTGACCAAAAGCAGTAAAAAATAGTTTTATTCTAGTTTTCATCATGCCAAATATTTGTGCATTTCCCTTAATTAACTACTGATGTAAACAGCTGGAACAAGAGTAATCCCTTCAACATTATTGCCCTTACTACAGTTCAAAACCTCCTCTACCGCCAACACCAACATGATCAAAAAAACTAGAAAAACAACCCTTGTTAGTGTTGTACAGACTACAGGCCAGGGTGTAACATTCTTGTCACCCACTGAAAATCCTTTCTAAAAATACAAACTCTGTTAAAATACTCTTTGCATTCCATACGACTGGTAAATACTAAACAGTGCAAATCTACTTGTTATCTTCTTGCTTTCCAGCTGTACAAAAAACCCAAAAGCAATAAAAGTTTCGTTGATTGGGAGGAAAAGACCCCAAAACCAAACAGCTCTCAATAAATGAAAAAATCATGGCCAACTCGTTAAAATCACGATCATCTTGATCGAGAGCTGCTCCTGGCGAAGCTGGTTAGAGCACAAGCAGACCCCGCCGGGCCAAGCAAAGGGAGAGACTAACGTGAGGCGGGGGCGGAGGCAGGTCGTCCAGGTCCGGGAGGGGGGCCTCGTCGTCAAGGTCGGAGGCGATGGTCAGGGGCTCGGGGGTCAGGAGGGGGCTAGGATCCTCGTGGCCGACCCCCCGCAGCTGTTGCTGTGGCGCGTGCAGGTGGGCCTGGGGCGCCGCTGCCGCCACCGCAGCTGTCGCTGCAGCTGCGGCAGCAGCGGCGGCGGCGGCGTGGCCGGTGGTGCCGCTGTCAGCGGCCGCGACACCAGGGCTCCCGGTCAGCTGCTGTCATAACCAAACAAAGGTCACCACACTGTCGAGGGGGCGCGCTCCGACGCCGCCGGGCCGCGCCGCGCCGCAGAGGAGCGCTGTGCGGGCTCACAGACAGACGTCGTGATCAAGGACAGACTTCCGAGGCCGCGCACACCGTCGTCGGGCGGCGAGCCGTCGCCTACCTTGGACGCCACCAGGGGCAGCTCCTGCAGCAGGGCGTAGTCGCCGTCGTCCAGGACCGGCGGGGAGCCTCCGTCGTGGCGCCGCCTGCGGAGCAGACAAGAAGAGTGTTTTTGGTATGTCCTGGCGCGGAACCCTGCTTTCGTCCTCACCCCGCGGGCGGGGAGTGCGACTTACTTGGTGGTGGTCTCGTCGAAGGTGACCTTGGGCTTGGATGCCTTGCGGCCCATCCAGGCCACGCCTTCCTCGGGGCCGCTGGCGCCGCCCGGCCGCAG